GTCTTTTGTTGGACATCTTTCGAGGTCCAGTTGTGGAAAAGATCCGGTTGAAGGGTCTGGAATCTGCCGTCGTTTGTACCGTTTTGGAAGGCAAAATCCTCGTCCGACATTACAAGTTAGATAATTGTATTCTATATACTCATTTCTTTTTTCTACGAAAACTGTTTCCTCAGTTGTATGGTTTTTTCCGATTTCAACTGCCCTTTTAAGCCTCCTTAATTATCCCTAGAACCCCCATGTGAAGGATAACTAGAAAATTGAGTTTAGAAGTTCTTGGAGAAATTACGCAGAAAAATGGAGTTAAGAGGGACGCGCAGATGTTTAATGGTAACTTTTGCGCGGAATTATCTATACTTATTTGGATGCAAAATAATTGACTTCCTTTTTTGACGTGAAATTATGCCCTTAAAAATTTATATTTAAAATGTCTTAAAGAATATAATCGCATTAAAAGAAGCCCTACATTCTGTTGATTAAAAGCCTCAAGCTTAAAACGAAAGTCGCACCGCAACTTCTTCAGCCCCTGAGCCTGACCCCGGATCGAAGTGGAAGAAGTGGGGCCTCGGTTCGACCTGACTATCAGGAGAACGAATCTCGCCTCGGAGGAACTGTACAAAACCGCGTGTCGCAAACCCAAGCTGCTCAAGGGCAAGAAGAAGAAGAATGTCTCCAAGGATAAACTGGGATCAACTCTGGGTCGTGTCCACATGACTCGGCAGGACCTGGACGAATTGCAAACGCGAAAGATGAAGGCTTTGAAGAGGAAATCCGATCCGAAGAGTAAAGAAAAGAAGAGTGGGAAAAGATCGAAACCGAGTGAAGAGCAGGCAATGGAAACTGAGTGAGTTTTTTACGCCTGCGTTTTTTTTTTTTTTTTTTCTGGGAAGGTTTTTGTGATGCTACAAATTCTTCTTTGCTCGTTTGGTTTTTTTTTTTGTGATGGAAGGAGAATAAAAGTCCGCAAAATCTTCCGCAGTACAGGAACGACTATCTTTGATCCGCTAATGAAGTGTTTCTTTCAAAGGATCCTGTGTCTCCTTACGAACGGATACTCTAACGAATGATATGAGATCTACTAGTTTTTAAGGAGAATTCTTTTTATGATTACCAAAATTGGTCGGATGTTGGAACCTGTAGCATAAATTATGCAAAATTCGAGGGATGAATTAAAGGCCTCGACTTCGGGGCACTTGGAGACTGAGGCTGAAATACTTTTCTTTGTTGAAAGCGTCTTGCTTCTACAGTATTTCATGCGCTTGAAATTGAATGGCGGTGAAGTAAATATGGGGCAAAATTATTTGGGCCTATCCCTATAAGGTATGGTATCAAGCTTTATTTGCGTAAGCAGTATGTCGTTTATCTTTCATGTACAGTGTTCTTGACTAGTTCTGAACCTCTTCTTGATCACATTTGACATCCCTTAATCGACGACGTCCCAGCCCCCTATAGAAGTTCGTAATTTGTGAAGCGCAGATTATTGAGAACCATTAGTACTATTGTGTTGACGTCGAAGAACGCTTTCTCTCAATTTACGATTTGAGAAAATCGAATGGAGATTTCTTATGATATGCACCAGGTGTTTCTAAGTTCCTACAGCTTTCCATCGCCACAGAAGGGCCATTTTCCGGGAATTNCTGTAGAAAAGATCGTTATGGATTTCAACCTGCACGTTCGCCATTGTCGAATAAAAAAAATAACGTCATCTTGATAGATTTTAATGATTTACTAAAATTTTAGCAAATGTAGCCCAAGTTTTTTGCCGTATATCCTTTTTTTTGTAAATCTGAGGAGAAATGTCTTCTGTTTTCCTGTTCCAATGTCAATTTCCGTTTTTGATATTGAATTTCGGTTCGAAGATCATTCTCAATTTATTCCTTGTTTTTTAAAGGAACTTTCCTCTAGTGCCTCCTCATCAAGTAACTTACGGCGCATTGATTATTTTTAGCTGCTTGAAAAATTGCATAGCTCAGAAGTTGTGGAAGTGTCCTTGACGAGGAAGTGACGTTCGAGGTGATCCAGGCGAGTCCACGGAGGTGACAGGAACTCCGGCCTCGGAATAAATTTCCTACCCTTGCTTGGAGCCGCGTCTGATATGCTGGGTGAGAGAACATTTTTTTTTCTTGAATATAGTTTATCGAAACTTCTTGTCAATGTGGGTCAATGGGTTATTTTTGGAGCTTTTTCGACGACGTTGTGATATGATCTCTTATTCATGCTTTATCCGTGGCTTTGGTGATACTTCGGATAAGAAAAGCCATCAACAGAAAAAGAAATAGGGCGCTGCTCTGCTTTGGGATTCGATCTGCATCAGAACTTTCTTTTTGATTGCTATTTACGAATGTAGGAAAACCGCAAAATATCCTTTATCGATTTTGTTTTGGTGTGTGATCATCGGGGTAAATGACCCACGCGATTTTTGTACACCTTTTCAAGCAAGTATGATAATTATAAACCTGAATATTATAAAGTTAGCCCTCTTTAGGTCAAATCCAGGGGGACCCACGACAAGTTCGACTACATGGGAATTTTTAAGCATCAATTACAACATTTAGAAAACGAATGCGCCCTTTCAAAGATTAAAAGTGTTCTTGGATCCTATTTCTTGCTTTTCAGATCCTCGATAAAGTTTTTGAGCTATTAAATGCAATTCAATCACTAATTCGGGGAAATTTCGAAGGAAACAATTTTCAAATATCCGTGATTATCATAAAATATTATGTTTTAAATATATACTGTTTCAAATTCGAATGCAATTGGATTCAATTTGGAGCTCATACTTTTGGGGAATATGCAAAAAATGTATACGACGGAAACGTGAAAAACAATTATCGGCAAAAAAAATGCTTTTTCGCTTCTTAGAGTAATATTTCAGTTTTGGTCGAGAATTCTTCCGCAAAGAATTTAGCTTTCCAGTTATAGTTTCGGATGTGCCCTTGGTAGAAATGGATTTCTCTAGAAAATATTTCTGCCAAATTCTTTTAAAGTAATCATTGAATTAATGCCGATTATACTTCATTGCAGGTTTTTTAATGCCCTATCCGCCAAAAAGAAGCAGAACGTGAAGGATCACCGGCATGTGAGTCGGAAAGCGATATCATGCCTGCTGTGTCTGTCCCCAACACGACCTCGAATCTTCATTGCCACCATTACTGCAAAAAAATAACATAAAAAAAAACGCAAAATTAGCTGTAACCGTGACGACTGGTCAAGCGTTCGCGAGGAATAACCTGGGCAACCGAGGTCAATGCAATCCAATCGTATCCCGAAAGCAAAGCACAACAAGGCTTTATTGCGCGTATGTACTCGTCACTCCCCGTCATTTCTAGCAGCGCTGGTTTGTGACCCAGCGTAAGGTCATATGGATGACAGTAAAAGGGAATCTCTGTGACTGCTGAACAGCAGCACGAGATCTGTACTCAAATTTTGCCGGATTGAGTGTTGGTGAGTAGAGCTGGAATTTTATTTAAGGAGGATAATTATCTATGCGCATTTGTGAGTAAAATAGATTTACATTGCAATGGTGGTATGACTTTTTTTATTGTATTCCACTGAAAATAATGGCGTGGTGAGAGGTTTGAGGCGACTTGGAAAATTTCCCACACTCTTTTCACGCAGTAATTATCCAAATGGCTTCTAAATTGTTGCATGTGTTGCATTTTTATGAATAACTCATTATCTAAAATGAGTAAAAATGCAGTTAAAATATATACTGGTAGACTCTCTCTACAAAAGCAATTAAAAAAAATCGTTGTTGCGAAACTTTCGTTGTATTGTATAGAGATCCTATGAAAAGGGCGAGAGAACCCTATGGGACCCCAAAAAATTCCTTATGCTGAGAAAATCGTTGTCGAGAGTGTCCTACATTATTTGCTACAGCCTACATTCATGTAAAAAATACTTGAATCTAAATTATACCATATTACACTATCTAAAGTGGATAAAATAAGAGCAGTTGAAATCTGAGCAGCTTATTTTCTCCGTACATAAATACTGTACTTGAATTTTTTTAAACTTACTGTACTGTAGTACTCTCTGAAAATCAGAGTTGGGTGAAAATTCAGTTATTATTAACTAATAATAATTAGTTCAAAAAATATGTGCTAATTGTTTAGGTACACATACCTACAGCAGTACCCAATATGAAGTTGAATAGAACTCAGTGAAAGCTTTATCAACACTAATAGATTGACTGACCTCTCTGTGGAGTAGTCATTTATTGTCCATCAGGACGTAATTTTCTCCTTTTTTGCTAAAATTCATCAAAAACATTTTTATTTATACCCGCAGCAAAAGAAGAAGAAATATGCACTGCGTTGAAGGCGCTATGTCACTTGTCCTAATGATGCTTGTCCTACTTGCATCCGACTATGGAGTTGTTGCGCAGGAATCAAGTACATCAGCTGCTCCAAGTGCGTATTCAATGATTTTTTTACCTTTTTTTCTGATTTATATGGTAATTATCAAGAATTAACCATGTACAATTGAACCTCTCGAAGTGGAATTTGAAGGAACTCAAAAAAATGAATTTATACCTGGAGAGGTATTGATCCTGGAAATTTGGCTTGATTTGGGTATACGTTAATTGAGGGAAATTATTTTCTGGCCAAATTGTGAGGACTATTTTTTATTCATGGATGTCTTATCTGTGGGAAGATTCCTAATCCTGCCTTGCGTAAAAACCATTTGCATTTGTTTCTTGGTTTTCTAGGACAGATCTTCCAAAGTCTGTCCCCAATTTAATAAAAGCAGAAAGGCCATATAAATTGGACTAAGGAAGGTTTGACGCATAGAATTTTCATTTATGATGATTTAATTTGCTTTGGAGTTTATGGCATTGGGCAGGGATTAACGGTATATTTCATTGTATTTGACTGACCAAGATCCAATTTTCTAAATTCAACCTCCCCAAATCAAAAAACTTCGGATTTTGAATTTTTTTTTTTCAGCACCTGTCTGAACTCCCTTGAGAGCCAAGTATTTTAGACTTCAAAATATCTCTCTAATGCAAATATTTGCATAACTAAAATCCTGAGAGGCCTTTGGGCTACTATTTTGGCATTTTTGGGGACAATAAATGAAGGTAATAAAAATGTAATTCTTCAAGTTTTTCAAAAAGACTAATGGGTAAATGAATCCTTGCCTCCAAGTTCCTCAATTCCTGTTAAATCATTCATCTTGCGGGTTTGGGCCTGGATACACAATGTTTACCTTCTTGTGACTCTTCCTTTTTTTTTAAAGCAAAAATGCTGGTTTTCCAAATTAAACAACTCCTAGATCAATTAGAAAATTTTTATGTCTCTCTCTCTCTCTCTCTGAATTTGACTGGAGAAGATTACATACTGTGTTGATGTATGTGTATCAGGCTGTGACTCACCACCGTCGCCCGCTGACGTGGACGCCATGACATCCCTGGTGATGGTGCGCAAGGCAGAGAAAAGTGACAACATGGTCGTTCAAATCAACCGGACATTCGCCTTCTACATGTGCGAGGGGCCAGGCTTTGTGTTCAACT